AAAAGAAAGAAAATGAAAAAAAAAAGTGGAGGGGGGCTGAGCTCTCACTGTAGAAACTGTTCCTGCATTACCTGGCAATGTGAAGCTGACATTGGGCCAAAACTCAGTAAATTTCATAACAGTGCAGATCTGAAAGAAAGGAAACTCAGACCTTGAGTTAGTGGGAGAATGCTTACCTAGCACACAGGTGGCCTGAGTTAAAGCCTTGGGGGTGGGGACCCAGGGTTCAGTTTCTGCCAACCTGTGCCAGTGACCTTGGCTCCTACCAGTTCTTCCCAAATCCTGGGGCTAAAGATAGCCTGCTCTTATCAGCAGGGATGGAGGTCAGGAGATAAGTACTGGGATTGGGCAAGAGGACCCAGCAGACTAAATCCCCTGGCCAAAAGTGCCACCCACCTCATCTAGGAGCAAAGGGTGCGCCACCTCACAGCGAGGGAGAGAGTGCAGGTCCTTAGCACAATAGAAACATAGGGCTGGGGACAGAGAAAGTAGAGGGCTGGCCTAGCCCTCAGGGTGTGGTGGGTTCAGCTCCCAGGATTTCCTAAAATCAGGTGCGGACTGTTTACAATCCCAGCCCTCAATTGTGAAGCAGAGGTATCAGAGAGGTTCAAAACAAAACAGGGCTGGGGTGTGGGGTGGGGTGGTCAGTAGAGAGCTTGCCTGGCATGCAGGAAGCTCTGAGTGCTAGTCCTAGTACTGCATAGTTTGGGAGTTGTGGTGCAAACAGGCCCTGGCACTTGGGTAGGGAGGGCCGAGGCAGGAGAATCAGGAATTCAAGGTCATCCTTGACCACAAATACAAGGTCGACGTTAACTTGCCCTTCACAAGACCCAGTCTCAAAAAACAAAATGAGCAAACAACAAACCAACCAGAATAAACAAGCAGCCATGCAGGCACATCTCTGTTTCACCTCAGTTAGGATGCACATGCAGACAGATCTCTGTGAGTTCAAGGCCAGCCTAGTCTGCACTGGGAGTTCCAGGTCAGGTAGGGCTACACAGTGAGACCCTATGTCAAGACCTAAAACTAATCAAACAAAACCCAGCAAACCAGGCTGGAGAGATGGCTCAGTGGTTAAGAGCACTTGCTGCTTCATCGTGAGGCCTGGAGTTCATTCAAATCCCAGCACCCATGTTAGGCGGTTCACAAATACTTGTAATTCCAGCTCCAAGGGATCCCATGTGCCCTTCTGGCCTGCATACACAGGGACACAGACACATGCACGCACATATAAAAAGACTACCATAGCCAAACAAGGACTAGGGGGTGGCTCGGTGGGTATAGTGTTTGTCCTGCAAACAGCAGGACCTGAGTTCGAGTCAGCAGCACCACACTAAATCCATGCAGAGCAGATGTGGTAGCCACACTTTTATTCCCAGCACTTAGCAGGAGGATCCCTGTGAGTTTAAAGGCAGCCTGGTCTACATGGTGAGCTCTAGGACAGCCAGCACTACATAGACTATCTCAAAATAAATAAATAAACAAAAGGTAAATAAAAATTCAGCCAAGAAGCATGGGTCTGCACTCCGAGTAAGTGCTGGGGAGTGGGGACAGGCAGTTCTCCCCACTTGCTTAGCCAGTCTGCAGAAATTGAGCTTCTGGCTCAGTAGGAGGCCATGTCTCAAAATACAAGGCAGAGAGAAGTGTTGACTTGTGTGCAAACACCTGTTTTACCCTCTGAAGTGCACACACATACACACACACACACACACACCACACGCACATACACACACCACTAAACTCATCTGTGTTACCCTCTGAAGTGCACCTGCATACACACACACACACTACATACACACGCACACACGACACACGCACATACACACACACCACTAACTGAACTCATCTGTGTTACCCTCTGAAGTGCACCTGCATGCACACAAGCACACACCACTAAACTCACTGGAGGTCTCCAGATGCCTCAGCTTTAGTGACTGAAACTAGGGGTTGGGGTTAGTGTTCAATGGTGGCAGAGTTTCGGTTTTGCAAGATAAATAGTTTTGGAGATGGTTTCACAACACAGTGAGTGAGCTAAACGGCACTGAACTGGGCTCTTCAAAATGGTGAAGGTGATGAATCCGGGCTCAGGGCAGAGCCCATATCTGGTTGGGTGCGCTACTCTCACCACCAAAAGAAAACATGCAATGATCAATTTAGTATACGCAAACTTTGCCCAAATATATTTTACATATGGACTTTTTTCCATTTCATAAAAGTTTTATGGGCTAGAGAGATAGCTCAGTGGTTAAGAGCACTTATTCTTGCAGAGGACCTGAGCACCCACCGGAGTTGACGTCACATCCATAATTCCTGTTATAGGGGATCTGATGTCCTCCTCTGATCTTCAAGGGCACCAGGCATTCTTGAAGTACACAGACACACATAAAGACTCATACACATAAAATAAATATAAATCTTTTAAAAGTTTATGTGCAGACCAGGCTTGGTGGCACACACCTTTAATCCCAGCACTCGGGAGGCAAAGGTAGGCGGATCTCTGTGAGTTAGAGGCCAGTCTGGTCTACAGAGTGAGTTCCAGGACAGTCAATGATATACAGAGAACCCTGTCTCAAACAAAACAACAAAAGAAAAAAATGTTTATGTACTTGGGTGTTTTGCTTGTATGTATGCCCACTCTCTGTATGCCTGGTGCTCAGAGAGTCAGGAGGAGCATCGGGTAGCTGAAATTACAGAGTTTCAGGCAGTTATAAGCCGCCATGTGGGTGCAGAGAACTGAACTTGGGTCCTCTGGAAGAGAAGCCAGTGTTCTTAACCACTGAGCCATCTCCGCAGCTCCCTAAAAAGGTCTGAGACAGGTTTCTCAGTAATTATGGAGCCTGCCCTGGAACCCGCTCTATAGACCAGGCTGGTCTTGAACTCACAGAGATCTGCCTGCCTCTGCCTCCCAAGTGCTGGGATTAAAGGTGTGCGCCACCATCACCCAACTCTTTCTTTTTTAAAGGGCTGTGGAGCTGGCAAGATGGCTCAGTGGGAAATGGCAGTAGCACCAAGGCTGGTGACATGAGTTCAGTCCCCAGAACCCACGGACGGAAAGGAAGTATTGACTCCTGAGAGTTGTCCTCTGACTTCCATAACGCATGACACAGAGCCACAGCCATGCAAAACAATCAAGTAATTATAGTAGGGCTGGAATGTGGCTCAGCTGGTAGTTTGCCTAGCATACATGAAGCCCTGGGCTCCATCCTCAGCACCATGTAAACCAGATGTGGGTGGGACTGGAAAGATGGCTCAGTGGTTCCCAGCTCACAACTTTCTGTAACTCCAGTTCCAGAGGATCTGAAGCCCTCTTGTGACCTGCTTTAGGCAGCACCAGGTACACGTGGTAACACTCACACAAAAAATAAAATTAAAAAAAACCCCGAACTGTGTGATGGTACAGGCACTTGGTCCCAGCACTTGGGAGGCAGAGGTAGAAGGATCTCTATGTTCAAAGCCAAGCTGGTCTACAGAGTGAGTTCCAGGGCAGCCAGGGCAACCATGCCCATCTCTACTCCCCCAAAAAAGAATCAGCCAGAACCAGGGGTTCTGACAAGGTGGTGCAGGCCTGTAATCCCTACACTTGAGGCTGAGGCAGAAGGGTGAGGAGTTCTAGACCAATCCGGGTTACAGGAGACCCTGTTTGAAGAAACCAAAAATAAATGAATAAAAAGAGTGGGACTGGAGAGAGGGCTCAGTGTTAAGACCACACAGTGTATTGCTCTTAGGAGGGCCCAAGCTCCACTCCTAGAATTTGGTGGATCAGTTAAAACAGTGAAAGGCTAAAGCCCGAGGCTGGGGCTGAGCTAGCAGAGGGCTTGCTCAGTATGCTTGATGTCCTGGGTTTATCCTCAGAGGGACCAAAGCACAACGTGGTGGTGCGTGCCTGTCATCCCAGCGCTTGGGGAACAGATGTGGAAGCATAATCAGGAGTTCAAGGTCATCTTTGGCTAAGTAGTGAGTTTGGGGCCAGCCTGGGCTAATGAGACCCTGCCTCACAAATAAAATGAAACACTACTATCATCACTATCAACGAAAACCTGTGTGAAAACAAGCATTTTTTTTGGGGCGGGGGGAATTTCCCATTGTTTTTTGCTTTTCGAGACAGGGTTTCTCTGTGTAACAGCCCTACCTGTCCTGGAACTAGCTCTGTAGACCAGGCTGGCCTTGAACTCAGAGCTCCGCCTGCCTCTGCCTCCTGAGTGCTGGGATTAAAGACGTGTGCCACCACTGCCTGGTAAGATTTTACTTTGCATGGGTGTGGGTGTTTTGCCCGTGTGTCTATGTATCGTGTGTATCTGGTGTCTGCAGGGGACAGAAGATGATATCAGATCCCTGGAAACTGGAATTACAGACGGTTCTAAGCCACCACACGGGTGCTGGAAATTGGACTCGGGTTTTGTAGAAGAGCAGCCAGCGCTCTTAAACACTGAGTCACCTCTCCAGACCTATTTTATCTTTTCGTTTTGTTTGTTTTTTTCCAAGACAGGGTTTCTCTGTGTAGCCCTGGCTGTCCTCGAACTCACAGAGATCCACCTGCCTCTGACTCCCCAGTGTTGGGATTAAAGGCGTGCACTATTACCACCCAGCCTTATTATTTTTTAAAGGCTTATTTAAGTTTTAATTATGTGTGATGTGCAATGTTAATGCAGTGCCCACAATGGAGGATTCCAGGGGCTGTGAGCCACAGCTCCAGCACTTTAGGTTTATTTTTAAAAGCTTAAAGAATCAGAAAACAATGACCTGGGTGTGGCTCAGTGGCACAGCACTTGCCTGGTGTCCACAAGGCCTGGGTTCAATCCCCAGAGTCGCACACACCAAGAATAGCAAGAGACAAAACAAGATGCAGGGAGCTGGGGTAAGTAGAGACTAGCACACAGGAGGCACTGGGTTACAGGCCCAGCAGCAGAGATGCTGGGTGGGAAGAGGAGGCTCAAAGATCTGAAGTTCAAGGCCAGCCTTAAAATAAGGAAGGAGTTAAAAAAAAAACAAACACAAAGGCATTGCCCTTGTTTGTAGCTTTATTAAAAGTCCTTTTACTTCCTAAACCATGATTACAAGAAAAGAATACTTCATTTACGTGTAACACTGTCTTCATGGACGTACCGTGGTCGCAGAGTGGAGCTGAGCATAGAAAAGGGAGCAGGGACCAGCGTCTGACCCTGCTGTCCCCGAGGCAGAGAGAAGCAGTGGCAGAGACAGACAGGGGCTTGTATGAGGAGCTCTGTGCTTTGGGATTGCAGAGAATGCTTCCAGAGGCACCAGCAGCTCTATCCACGTGCAGACTCCATCCTGACATCCGCCCACCAGCCCGCCTGTCACTCAGTTATCGCCCATCCACACACTCGTCCGTCTGTCTGTCTGTCATCACTCGTCTATATCCAGCCTCTACCCAGACACTCATCCCTCCACCCATCCATCCTATTTCTCATGCCAACCAAGCCTCTATGCCTTAGACAAACCCCTCTAAAAACCCAAGCCAACTAAGATTTCGTCAAACCAAGAGACCTACTTGTCTAGAACCCAGCGCTTTCCTTAGTTCACCAGCCTCAACTCTGCCCTGCCGAGGTTTGGCTCCAAAGCCCTGTGGGTACAGCTGTGACCTGGAGAAGACCGCTCCCCAGCACAGGCACATTTAGAAGTCGCTTCCTTTCTTCTTTACGAAGAAAAGGAACTAGGAAAGACAAAAACATGCTGAGATTCTGGGGTGCAGAAAAACAAAACAAAACAACCAAAAAAAAAAAAAAAACCACTAAAAGAAAAGTGCAGCCTGCCTGTGCCCACAACAGGCACTCACTCTAGAGCCTGTGCCCCATCACCAACAGGCACTCTAGAGCTTTAAGAACGAACACACACACACACACACACACACACACACACACACACACAAAACTACTCATCTGGCCGTTGGGTTTCAGTGAAGCCTGTGACTTTAAGCTACTTCTGGGTGTGTTTTGAGGCCAGCCAGCACCTAATCAGGACCACATGGGCTGTGGAATGCGCCTGTACTTGGTCAGTATCACATCCTCTGTTTACTCTCCTTGGAGGAGAGCAGTTCTGGGTTCCAAGCTGGGAGACACTCTGGAATGGCCTTTTTTTTTTCTTTCCTCTGTAGTTCTGAAAGCTTTTCTAGGAACACTCTTGTGTCCTGAGCTCTCCCTGTGGGGAATGGGTAAGTCTCTATCATTTCTCCTTCTAAGATGGTCATTTCCAGGCCACAGGGCCCACCAGGACCTCAACTGCAGGATGCTGAGAGGCCCCAACTTGAATGTGGGGGGGGGGGGGGGAGTGGGTGACAGATCTTGAAAAGACAAATGAAAGCACTGCTTCCGACCTGAGGGGAGAACGCTCAAGAGTGTCTTTCAATCACACGAGATTCCCCTGGCCCCCAAGAAAACTGTCTGGGGGTGGAGGGCGGTGGACAGAACCCTATTATACACTAGACAATGACATGAGGCGACAAAGGGCATTAAGCAGGCCTGGTGGAGACTTGTAGTGAAGTCAGGACAAGGAGACTCTAACATTCCAGTGACATTCGAATTTAGCAACTCAAATTCTGACCCCTCCCTTCCCCTAACAATGACTCAAAAATACAGCATTTTCCCTTCTTGCCCCCACTCCTCCCATAATTGCCGGCTGATTGTTCTCCATGTTCTCCATAAGAAACCCACACCCGGGTGTCAGCAACTGGCGCCAACTGGGCGGAGAACGTAGCTTGGCTTTTTGGCTTTGAATGTGGCTTTGAACTCGGGGTGCTGGGAAAGGGCTGTAGAGCTGAGTCTGGCAGATGTCAGGACTCCCCCAGAGAGGAAGGCTGAGAAAGTGCAGGGCAGAAAGGGGGCAGGATGAGGGGAGGCGGTCTGCTGTGTGGCTGTGTGGCTGGGGTCCTTGGGGAGTCATTGGCCTCTCGCGGTATTTACTCTTCGGCTGAGGATGATGCTGGACTCTCGTAGTCTGACATGGGAGCAAACTGTAACGAGAGGCAGAATTCTTTCTTGGAATCCTTTCAAATCCCTCTGAGGAGAAGGTTTGCTGTGGATGCAGAGGGAGGGAGGGTGGTCCTTCCTTCCAAGGCACCACATACAGCAATGTATTGTCGCCTTGTCCTTGCCGAGAAGGCATGGGAAGGAATCCAAGTGGAGACTAGGGACAGAAAGGGACTTCTTCACTGATCCCTGCACCAGGTCTCGAACTCAACCCAGCTGGAGGAGGATCACAGTATGACCAAATATACTTACCTTGAAAAACAAACCAAACACCAAATATTGTTTTAGGCAACCAAATATTAATGCAGAGGGTTCAAGAAAGAATGCTGGTCCCACTGCTAAGTTATACCCTGGCCTCTCACTGGGGGATTCTAGGCGGGGTTTCTACCCTGAGCCCCAGCCCCAGCCCCTCATGGGAAGATTCTTGGCTCTACCCTGAGCCCCAGCCCTGTTTCTTTACATTTTGAGGTAAGTCTTACTTAGTTGCTGGGGCTGGCCTTAAACTCAGCTCTGTAGCCCTGGCTGGACTGGGATCTACCTACCTTCTACCTTAGTCTCCCCAATTCTGGGATGGCAGGTGCCCATCACCTACCGCTCAGCTCTGAGTCCCGCCCTCGCGCGCAGGGATCTGGACTCACCGAGCACTGGATGTTCATGCGTGAGTACAGCATGGAGGCGATCTCGCTCTGCCCTGCATCGAGGGCCACCATCAGTGCAGTGCTCCCATCCTGCAAAGCACCCACAACTATAAAGATGCCCTGTGTGCAGCCCACCCTCCCTGGGCAGCACCTGGGTGGGGACTCACTCGGTCAGTGAGTGAGATGTCGCAGTTGGGCACAGCCAGCAGGAGCCTGGTGATCTCCTTGTGTCCGTGCTCACAGGCACACATTAGGGCCGTGGAGCCATCCTCATCCTGCGTGTTGACATCCACCTCGCAGGCCAACAGAGCTTTCACCACATCCACCCGTCCGTGGCTCACTGCCAGCATCAGGGCCGTCTGTCCAGCCTGAGGCCACAGAACAGGGCTACAGTATAGAGGCCAGTGACATCACACCCCTGCTCCTGACCATCCCATGGCTCCCGAGTGCTCTGACACTGACTGGGTGCACACGCTGGGCCCTCCATCTCCTGGTTGTCTTCCTCAGAAGGGCTCTCTTGGTTCTACCCACCTGTATGGCCACCTACCATGAGCCTCCAACTCACAGGTGTAAAATTAAGCAAAAATTTAATCAAACTAGCTAGGTGGTGGTGCTGCACATCTTTAATCCCAGCACTCAGGAGGCAGGGACAGGTGGATCTCTGTGAGTTTGAGGCCAGCCTGGTCTACAGAGTTAGTTCCAAGGTAGCCAGGATTACACACAGGGACCCTGTCTCAAAAACCCAAAAATTAAAAAAACAAAAACAAAAAAACAAAAAACACACACATACACACACACATACACAGACCCCACAAAAAAAAAACCCACGACTTAACCATTAAATAAAGAAGAAACAAAAACACATCCAACTAAGATTTGTCTATTTTTTTCTGTTTACTAGTTACATCCAAAGAAACAATTAAAAATTGATGCTCACCAGGCAGTGGTGGTGCACACCTTTAATCCCAGCACTCAGGAGGCAGAGGTAGGCGGATCTCTGTAAGTTCGAGGCCAGCCTGGTCTACAGAGTGAGTTCTAGCACAGCCAGGGCTACACAGAGAAACCCTGTTTCGAAAAACAAAGAACAAAACAAAACGGATGCTCACCAGAGGATGAAAAGATCAAACAAACCATGTCTAGACACAACAGAACACCATTCAGTCATGAAGAGGAACATTATTCAGAATATTGATGGATGTTCAAACATGGAAAAGCTTTGAGTACAAAAATTCATCGATAGTGTTTTTTGTTTGTTTAGGGGTGTCAGAGTCTCACTGCAGAGACCCTAGGATGGGCAGGAACCTGTGGCCCTTTTGCTTAGAGGTTCCCTGAACAGCTAGGGGACTGTAACTCCATTTATAGGACATAGCCAGAGTGGGCAAGTTCAAAGCCAGCAGGGCTCTGGGAAGAGAGTCTACCCATGGGAACAGGACTTTCCTCTTTATTATCACTGTTATTTTTCATTATCTAACAGGCAGGTCTCACGTAGCCCAGGCCGGCCTGGAGCTCACTACGTTAACCCCTGATCTTACTGGCCAGTTTCCTAAGTGCTGCGGTTATAGGCATGCATCACCCCTGTAGACAGAAGGAGACTGAAGGGGACATGAGGAAGGAAAGAAAAGAGGCGGGGCCTGATGTCAAAGGGTCTCATTCCAGGTCTGTTGGGACAGTTCAGGCCAGCTTGGGAGATCCTATTTCCCAGTGAGATCCTATTTCAAATCAACACATAAGAAGAGGGCTGTGAGCTGGAGTGGCTCCGTGGTTAAAAGCACCAATTGTTCTTGCAGAGGTTTGGTTCCCTGCAGCTACACGGATGCTCACAACCACCCGTAGCTCCAGGCACAAACATGGTACACATACAAGCAGGCAAAACGCACCGAATGTGCTGCTTGCCTTTAATCCCAGCACTCCGGAGAGTTCTGGGCCAGTCTGGGGTATACAGTTAGATACTGTCTCAAACAGGGAGGTGGAAATACATTGTTGCAAAGCAGGTAAAGTGCTTGCCTTGCAAACACAAGCAGCTGAGTTCCATCAGAAAGAACCTGTGCACAATCAGGTCCATGTGCAACTTGTGATCTCAGCACCTGGGAGGCAGAGGCTGGAGGATCCTAGATAGCCAGTCTAGGGGAATTGGTGAATCCTAGATTTAGTGAGAGACATCTTAAAATGCACGGTCCTCTGGTGTGCAATTGCACGTGCACGTGCACACACACACACACACACAGAGATGCATCATATGCATGCTATCCAGAGCTCGCTCTAACACCGAATCACTCAGGTTTGAACATCAGCTCCTCGCCTGAAGAGCCAATACTGCTTCTGAGTCTCAGAGTGATGACTGTTTCCATGGACACAGAATGTCATCATGACCTGACTTGGCCCAGTCTGGAATTAATAAAGTAGGTCTAGGAGCAGGTGAGAGGACTCAGTGGGTAAGACGCTTGTCACCAAGCCTGATAACCCGAATTTCATCCTGGGACTCACACGGCAGTAGGAGTGAAGTGAGTCTCAAAATGTGTCCTCTGGCACCCGTAAGTGCACCACAGCACAAGGTCCCCATCCCTAGTAAATCCATAAGGCACACTGCGGCCCATACCTGGCTGGCTTTGGCGTTCACATTCCCAAGCCGGAAGAGCTGAAGGATGGTCTCCATGTCATCCTGGGTCTTCAGGGTGGCCAGAGCAGTGAGCATGATGGGGCTGTAGCCAGCACGGTTCAGCTTGTCCACCTGGCAGACACCTGTGTGGGGAGGGTGGGGATGGAGTGTGAGTCTCGCCATCAGCACTAAAGGCTGGCCGACCCCAGTGAGCGCTCTGTCTAGGCACAGCCAACAGGTTTCTGTATACGTGTATGTGCTTGTGGAGAGCTGGATGCTTTCTTCAGGAGCCAGGCACCTGCGTTTGTGTTTTGTTTGGTTTGCTTATTTTATTTTATTTTTTAAAGGTTTTATTTATTTATTAAATATAGTGTTCTGCAAGAAGATGGCACCAGATCCCATTATAGATGGTTGTGAACCACCATGTGGTTGCTGGGAATTGAACTCAGGACCTCTGGAAGAACAGCCAGTGCTCTTAACCTCTGAGCCATCCATCCAGCCCAGATCATTTTTTTTTTAATTTTAGTTTTCGTTTTTCTCTGTAGCTTTGGAGCCTGTTCTGTAGACCAGGCTGGCCTCGAACTCTGCTTATTTTATTTTTAATATTTAAAAAAATATTATTTAGAGCTGGGTGTGAAGGTGACACCTTTAGTCCCAGCATTTGGGAGGCAGAGGCAGGTGGATCCCTGAGTTCGAGGCCAGCCTGGTCTACAAAGTAAATTGTAGGACAGCCAGGACTACACAGAAAAACTCTGTGTTGAAAAGCAAACAAACAAAAATACATATCTTGTTTTAAAAGAGATTTATGTTTTAGCTTCTGGTGTATGTGTGCACACGAGAGTACTAGTGCCCCAGTGATCCTGAAGAGGATGCTTTAGATAGAATTATACAGCTCTGAGCTGTCTGATGTGGGTCCTCTGTGAGCGTAGTGCCCACTTTTAACCACTGGACCATCTCTGCAGCTCCCTAAACTATATTTTTATATCTGTTTAGGCAGTGGAATCGGGGTATCTGCCACGGCGTCGTGGAGGTCAGAGGACAGCTTGCAGCGGCTGGTCTCCCTCCACCTTAGAGATCTGGGGATAGAACTCAGGTTTTCAGGCTTGGCAGCAAATGTCCTGACCCACTGAACCATCTTGACATGCCTACCTTCTTAAAAGCTTTGTGTGTGTGTGTGTGTGTGTGTGTGTGTGGTCTGCACGTGCACACACGGAGGCCCTCGATCGCTCTCCACCTCACTGCGGAGGTGAGGTCCATCACTGGGTTGTAGCTGGTGGCCAGCGAGCTCCAGGACTCTCCTGACTCCGCCTCTCACTCCACAGAGCTAGGGTTATAGAAACATGCCTCCACGCTTAAGAGTTTTTGTAAAACTTGGATGTTGGGGACCTGAACTAAGGTCACGGTGGCAGGAAAAGCACTGTATTCATGGGGTCATCTCCCAGCCATTCTTTCTCTTAAGGTAGCGTCTTTGTCCTAGGGCTTGCCAAGCAGGCAGGGGTCCCCGTCTGTCTCCCCAGCGAGCGCTGAAGGCACAGCACCTACTGCTGCACACAGCTTTTCTGCACAGCTCGCCCTTTACAACTAAACCTCCTCCACAGCCCCGACTGCTTTCTGTTCCCAAATGGGGAGTCCCATCCACTATAGTCACACTGTTACCCTAGTAGATGAGGGGGTC